GAATTATTCATGTCGTTGATAGGTAGGAGTTGGGAAAAACTGATTTCTCCCTGTCCTTCCTTAGACAATATGGAAGGGGAGATTCAGTCCCGCTCTCCCTTTACTCCGTCCGTGTCTACCAGACTAGGCGCGACTAAGAAAATCGAGCTAAAAGGATGGAGGACGACGGCCCTGACCATCTTCAGTCCAACACCTGGCTCTTCTACGCTTATTTACAGTGCTATTCATCCTAGCCGTCGTCTCTGCCTGTAAATTCTCTTGCGCTCGCTCATCGATATTACCCGAGATCATTTCTCGCTGCCTCCATTGGTATTACCCAGAAACGCTACAAGAAAACGCTCCGAGCAGTTGCTTGGAGTGAGTCAATTGGACCATAACAACATCGAAGAGCCACATAGGCCCCATTGTTTGGTTCTGGCTGCTGGAGGCTTCAGATTCAACCTCTATTGAATGCGCCAGCAAGCTCCAGATCTTGTATCATCTCAAGTACTCGAGGTGGTTTACTGGTCTACAAAGCGAATAGGAGACAGTCGTCATATTACTGTAAGTTCTCTGGCTTCAGCTTGTATGTATATTTCTCTCTCTATCTATGCATTTTTTTTCTCTGTTCCTCCGACATGGCCTTCTACGAACAGTGTCAGCGCCAGTGGGGCTTGTCTTGCTTTGATCTAGTTTGTAAAAAGCATGCTCGCATTTCTGATCAATTCATCCGAGGCATAAACCGGGACCCTCCTGTTTTGTCGCCATAATGATGCTCCATATACTCCGTACCCGACCTCCTATCTGACTTTTGCCAGCTCATCTGATAGCCTAGTTTCTAGGCCTGCATATCGGCTTCTCAAGCTCGCGCACCTTCATTTCCCCCCATGACCATGCCACTTCTAATCTGAACCCCTTCTGAAGTCGGTCCATTATCACGACAGTGCAACAAACAAACACGAAAGACCTCAAATATATAAACGCTCTATGTCCACCATACCAGAACCGTCCCGACCGGCCGCAAGTCCTCCGGCAGGTGCTCTGCCGCCGCTGCCAGCTGCGAAAGTCAGAAAGAGCTTGCCCGTATCAACGGAAATACAGAGGGCGTCATCTCCCTCACATTCAACTTCCAAATTGCGCACGCCCTCCAGCCCTAGATCGAATTTTCACAGGTCCCCGTTATCAAGTTCAATTTCTAACCAAGGCAGCCTGAGGTCAGCGTCGGGAGGTCGGAGTCCGGCCAGTCCTGAGAAGTCGCTTCGCAGGACGATAAGCATCGCGGCCTTTCCCCAACCTCCAAAAGTCAATGGCCGTTCTTCTGTGGCTTCCGCAATCTCCGGATCTAATAATATTCCGCTTGGCAGCGCGAGAGTCAAGAGTGGTTCCAGGTTAAGTTCAGGAACTACCAGCAGTTATCGAAGTTCAAGACCCCCTTCCCTATTGAACGGACATGGGGAGGGCAGAAATGGCACTGTCTCAGACTCACGAGAACAAGAAGCCTCTCCTACACAGAGCAGAAGCTCGTCAGCCCAAGGATCGTACTCAACAAGTGCGACCACGTGTGAAGATCCGGATGATGCTACAGGGATCGCCAAGGCAAATTCGAAAAACAAGCAAGTGAAAGGAAATGTGATCGTCAGCGTCCGTGTACGTCCCAATCTGACCGGGACAGATGGTTCGGCTTCTGACGGCGATTGGGTTGTTGACGGTCGACGCGGCCTAATCTCCTATAAAGGAAAGGAAGGCGGAGTCGACTATTTATATGGTGCGCACACCTAGATCAAGACCTTTCTAACGATTCGCATGGCTGATTGATCAATCTACTTTTACAACAGACAATGTCTTTCCGCCGCACGAGCACAATGCCAGAGTCTACGACGCCGCGGCCAAGCGCCTTGTGAGAAGGGTTATGGAAGGGTATCACGGAACGGTCTTTGCCTATGGCATGACCGGGACTGGAAAGACCTTCTCTATGCAAGGGACAGCAACTTCTCCAGGTGTTATACCATTAGCAATAACGGATATCTTCTCTTTCATCCGAGAGACACCTCACCGGGAATTTCTGCTTCGCGTCAGCTATCTGGAGATCTACAATGAAAAGATTCATGACCTCCTTTCTACGTCGGGGTCTACTGGGCTTGCGGGTTCTCAGCAGGAGGAGATCAAACTCCGCGAAGACAGCAAACGAGGTGTGTATGCGACTCCGTTGAAGGAAGAGATTGTGCAGAGTCCTACACAACTCCTGCGTGTAATTGCCAGAGGTGATCTTGCACGGAGAACGGGCAGCACGCAGTTCAATGCTCGTAGTTCGAGAAGTCATGCGGTCGTCCAGATTGTTGTGGAGAGCAGAGAACGAGCGCCAACAAGCAACCCATCCCAAGAACGGCGCTCCGGCATGGCCCCAGGGGGAGTCAGGGTGTCGACCCTTAGCTTGATCGATTTGGCTGGGTCTGAGCGCGCTGCAGAGGATAAAGAGCGTCGGACGGAAGGTGCTCATATAAATAAAAGCTTACTCACATTAGGCACGATTATCGCAAAGCTCTCGGAGAACAAGGATAAGGGCGGAACCCCAGCTGATCGCGAGGGCAGACATCTTCCGTATCGTGATAGCAAGCTTACACGGCTGCTACAACCGGCTCTCTCAGGGAATTCTCTCGTGAGCATCCTCTGTACAATTCAGATTGATGGGTCTGGCAGCTCAGCAACAGCGGGCTCACTCTCGAATGAGACTCTAAACACGCTGAAATTCGCTGCCCGTGCCAAGAACAGCATCGTCAGTCACGCTAAGAGGGCAGAGGAAGCCTTCGGCAGTGGCGGGGGCGATGCGGGCAGCCGAGTTCTTCTGGAGCGCTACCGCATGGAGATTCAAACACTACGCAGTCAGCTTGAAAGTCAGGCAAAGGATCAAGCTGAGAAGGAGTTAAAACTGGAAGAGCAACAATTGGAGAAGGAGGCAAAGGTGCGCCACGAGGAGCAAATGCTTGAAATGCAACTAGCTCGAACAGCGCTGAAAGAACGTATTGAACATCTCAATCGTCTGATCCTTTGCTCCAAATCAACTGGAGTCAATAGTCATAACGGCATAGCCGCCTTCGGGCGTCTTTCTAGGATGTCTACTACTGACTCCATTTCTCGGTCTCTGCGGTCGTCTGTGAGTCAATCAACATTGGGCGCATGCGGATTTTCATCCGCACGGCCTGTTTCCTTCCTGTCCACCAACAGCACTGAAGTGTTGGCGAACTTGCCGTATCAGAATGCACCTCTTGAACACGAAGAGGACGAAATTATAGGGGAGTTTGCAGACGGAAGAGCAAGCGCCCAGAGACAGATTGCTGCTCTACAAGCTGATCTTAACGATAAGAATCGATATATCTCAACCCTAGAGAGACGCCTACTGCAAGCCCGTCGCTCAAGTCACTCTCGGATATCTATGGGTGTGAAGGCAGTAAATGCTCCCTCAGAAGAGCCGGACTTCAGGGCTTTGCTCCGTGAGAAGGATATGGAAATCAACGAACTCCGCTTGCAGCTGGATGATAAGGATCGAATGCTTGCAGCACTTCGGTCTGCCGCACGACATTGGGATCTCGCACATGTTACAACAGACCCATGCGCTGCGGACCCCAAAATCAAGCGTACGTCTTTGAATAGCAATGGCGGTATTATGCCGTCGTATGGTCGTGCAGCTGGTTCCCTTTCGTCGCCCGAATCTTATGAGAAAGGGCCAGATGGAAAGAGCATGGACGAAGTCTCGCGCATACTCGATGAAATGATACAGGATAGAATGGAGAGCGGTCATTTAGTGAAGGGATCTCGTGGGAGTGTTCGTGTTGCTGATGAAAAGCAACGAACGCTTGAACCAGCAGCAGGTATCCCTGCATTAAACACGGCGAGCACAATTTCAGAAAGAGATGGGACAGATGTCATGTGAATGAGAGATTCAGTCACCCAAATCACAAGTCGTCCTTCTGTCCCAACTGGCTTCCCTTCGCCCCCGCCCAAATTCCCTATCTCCCGCTATCCACAATCTCCCCCGAATATTCCGAGTTACCTTCATACTGAGTCTGTTCCTCCCTATTTGTTCATGGCCATGACTACTGGTGTGAGCTGCCAGATTTGGCCTTATGGCTTGGTGTTTCAAAGGTGGACTTGATGGAATCAGGAGGCTACCATCCACTGGTGAGTGGAGTCTTGATTTCGCTGCATATTTAGATACCCATGCATGATCTTTTCCCTTGAACTCAGCTTAATGAGATGTTTATGTTTAAATTGAATCAACTAATCTAGCTTCACTTTGCGTGATGAGGCAAATTTCACACCTCCTATTTATATTTAAGAATCATAAATGTAACCAAGGGCATGCATGGTGTATGGAGGAAATCTGTTGGAGGGGTTGGTAGAATGTAAGATCGATCTTGATATAGTGATGCAAGAATTGAGGATTATTGGCGATCATTCAAACACTTCATTCATCAGAGGCAACCAGGCATCTCAGCATGAGGACTGCCTCTGAACCAGAGCATAGGTGGAGAATTTCTATCCATTTGTTCTAATATTTCTGGACATGAAAAGCTCCAGAGCACCAACCCACCTTATCTGGGATTGGATCTACCTCCGGCAATGAAGACGCCGGATTGCCAGCAGGAACAACGCCGCTACGAGGGATACCTCCGACCGAATTGATGGGAAGCATCCATCATCTAGGTGTTGTCCCAGACGAAGTTCGTAGGCATACATACACCACGACATGTTCTCAACACAACGGAAGCTGATTTCTGACCTAAAGTGTCAAGCCATTAGGTCGAAGGTAATCGATCGATAGGCTCAAACAATATTACCCCACAGGCCTCTTTCCTGGGATCACTTCCAGTATGCTTGCTTGCGGGCATAGACCCCGTAACATCAACTTCATGGTTCGACTAACGGCGGGATATTATTCAGGCTTGCCGGGAAGCCTCTCTTTTTTCGTTCTTTGTCCCTTGTTTTATTACAAGAGTGCATCAAAAGATGAAATCGAGGCCACTTCATGCAACTATCTCAATTTCAGAGATTCGGTCCTTTGCAAAGACATCTTTGTATTGCTCCCACAACCGTCGAAGCTCTCGTATATACTTGTCATGAAGGTCATCAATGTACGATTCGTCGATCTTGTCTCTGTCACGCTGTTGAACGACTTGAATAGGCCGGCCAACGACGATATTTAATGGGCGTCGATAAGGCATCAATCCCACGTCATAATTGAAAACCCCACGAGCATGAAAGAGCGGGATCGTGAACCCCATCGTATGCTTAATGAGCATTTGAAACTTGTGTATAACGGGATGTTGGTCTGATCGCACCTGCTCATAGAGATCATTTTCGCCGAAAGCAAGTACTGGGACGAGATCAGCACCGGTGCGAATTGCTAGCTTTATGAATCCTTTGCGGCATTTTAAAACAAGGCGCAGAGAGTGAGGTAAAGCGTCCAGAGACTCGCGAGCCCCACCAATGACAATTGTAATCGCGCGGCCCATGCCTTCCCCGTCAGCACCACCTTTAGAGAGTAGGTTTTCACAAGACTCCCGGGAAACACTGGCGAGTCCCATAGCAAGAGCGTATTCTCTGTAGAACGGAATTCGAAAATTCGAATCTAGGGTAAGCAACGTGTTTGTGATGCCCGGAAACAACCTCGAAAATCCGAGTGCTTCAGTAGCAAATGCCGCAAATGCACCGTGAGAAATTATGCCGTGAGGGTGGTAGCCGAATATGTATTTGCGTGTTGGAAGTAGCGCTTCAGAGCGATGCAAGCAAGCAGGAAAATAAGAGGCATAAAGTGACCATATCGGAAGCGAACGCATGAAATCGCTACGCCCACTCAACGTTCCAGACGTTGCAGATGATGAAAAAAGTGAAATATAAACCAGATATGGGAGTAGCAGAGGCCAGAATACGGGTATGGCACAAGCGAAGAAGAAAAATGTCAAGAATATTGCGATTGTCAAAGTGTGGCATAAGACCACGAACGTCTGCATACGTCTTTCGAGACCGATATTCAAGGGAGCCCAATGAATGCCCCTAAACATTATCAGTCATCAATTTCAGTGACCCTCGATCCTACATATACACCAAACTGCGCACATCTGCAGAGAGAAAAATGGATTCGAAGAACCAGCACTTACCGACTCCTGGATGAATGCCTTCGCAGTTCTGAATAGCCTGGCCGTGACTGAGAATGATCGAGCGAGGCTAGTATCGCTGGGGTGTCAATCCGTTTTATCGGAGAATAGAAACCCGCAGCTGACAATCCAGTGTTGTTTGCTACAGTATCCCGAGATTTATTATTCCTTTGCACATGATTCACACGCGAGGTATTCTGCTCGGTCTGGGTTTCTGTGCTCAAACTGATTTCTCCCGAGGAGGACTGAAGCACCGACTCAGGCTGCTGCTGCAAGCTTCCTGCTTGTATATTTTCTTGGTCTGGCATTATTGATCAGGAGAAGTGGAAACAACACCGAGTGCAAAAGATAGGCAGGAATCTACTCTGAGGTAGACTGAACGACTCGATGTCGGGGATCTTCAGCAAGGGTAATTCTGCCGCCTAATCTCAAGGCCTAGCTGAGCGGAAAATTGGTATCAATTTGTATCCCACTTCGGCAAACGCACAGTCGTTTCCTATTCTAAGATGATCAGAGAATCGATCACTCAGCAGAGCGGCATTGGGAACTTCGATCTAACGCAGTTCGCGGTGCGCAGTGGGATCCCGTATGAGTGATATGACGTTCGAAGGCGGGTCTTCAGTTCTGCATCAAGAGGATTAACTATTGAGCGGGTGTACTCTGTATTTATCCATTCATATCAATATCAATTCAGTACTTTACTGATAGTACCTTGGGACTGGAAGTTGAGAGCGTAAGGCTATGTTCGTATCTCTGGTACCTGCCAACAATTTATGTGGACACACTCCAAGGTACTTAGTTGGGGGAAAGTGGGGATCTAGAATGGCTGTCTCTGAATCTATCAACCCCACGATCAGACGACTTTCAAAATTCGAATGTTAAAACATAAATACCTTCTCTGCTACTATCCTGCTTAAATGGTGGACTTATGTTTCTTTCAGCGAAGTGTATTGCGAATAAGTCTTTTGAGACATCTAGATCTTCAGGCCCGGGCTCCGATCATTCATCTGAATAACTCAAAGTGTATAGGAAATCAATACTTGGTATAGCGGCGGCTTGGCCTGCAAAGCCGCGACATCAAGTAAAGAAATGATTTAGAAGGCACCTGAAGGTAATTACTCATACATCGTGACCAAGAGCGACGCAAGTGAATAAAGTATATCATCAACCTATCGGGCCAATGCTGATTTGGGATCTGTAAGTTATCAGGAATACAAGATAATATTCTTTCAAAATGTTGATATGATTCTTTAAGCGCGGGTGTCTAGGTAGGGTGACATGGGCCAACCTGCGAATATTTATTATTTATGTTTTGATCATGAATATCTGTGCCAGTTAGCCTCTGTGCAACATGGAAAGGGATTGATAATAGGAAAGGATAATAAATACTTCATTAAGAGATTTATCGTCCATGAGGGCTTTCTTCTTTTGTTCAATATGTCGGCTTCGAAAGATCCGTCTTCCCATAGGTTGGCGTTCCCTCGATGTTGATGGACTGTTCGAGGCTACCGCACATGTACCTTTATCGTTTGCGACCGCTAGAACGACTTTTGTAGACGATATGTCCGCTGTTTCCGCGTCGAGCCCGTCACAGTCACTAATTTTCCTTTTCTTTTGCCTCTTCTCTTGTTTCTTTTCGCGGGATTTTCTGGAACTCATGTCCAGCTCCTTCCCCTTCTTCTTCTTCTTCTTCTTCTTCTTCTTCTCCTCATCCTCCTTGGTCGTGGCACAATCTTCCTGTTGTGAATCGCTATCCATGGGCTCCATCTTAAACAAGCCATTTTCACTTTCAGGGGAAGAGGTTTTCCGTGGGAAATCAGCGCGAAGATTCTGAGAAGTCGGGGAAGCGGTAGCATTATCCTTCTCCTGCACAAGAAGTCCACCACTTATGAATCTGACGGTCTGCCACTTCGTTGCAGCATATCGAGCCAATTTAGCATCATTCCGCTTTTGCTGCTCCGCTTCAAGTTGTGTATCAGATTTACCATTGAGCCGGCCGAGTAATCCTTTGAATGCGTCCAGGCCAGTGGGCTCATCCAAAAGGTCCCTCTTTGGCCGAGCTCCCAGGCCTAATGTATCATCCTTCAAGACAACTCTTATATGTGATGCGCTAGCGGTAGTGAATAGATCAGAGTGAGTGGCATTCCGGGCGCCGAGGAAGCTACCGGGAGTCCAGCCCTGGGCTTTGAGAATCCTGTGTCCAAAACCATCCGTTGATCGTGACCAAGAGGTGTTGTTGGGATCATGCGAGATTTTGGTTTTCCTGCATATTTTGGTCAGTGACTCTTATCGCAGTGACATTCTTTGGAAAATTTACTTGCGAGGCGCTGCCAGGCCCATTTGCGGTAGGAGCGAAGAGAATTTTTGAGCGGAGATAAGAGAAAATGGCGAGATAGTGTCGATCTGACTGAAACTTGAAGTTTAAACCAAAATACTGCTATTTGAAGTATTATTCTGGGACCAGGGAGAAAAGTGAAAAGAAATAAAACACGATCGAGAGAGGGAGAGAGAGAGAGGGTTGTAACGTAAAGCAGGAGTGCGGCAAGGGTATCTAACGAGTAGCGGTTGTATGCATCTTTGCCTTTTGGACTTAACAGAGAGCGGGAGAAAAAAGTATTTTCTCTGACTCGGGTACATATTAAATTATGCTTATTTCCTGAACACCCTCTTCGATACGCCTGATACCTATGTACCTATGTACTCCTACAAATGGATGCTCTGCATCTAAGATACCTTTATACTATGTATCTGTTATCTGTGTAGTAATAATAATAATAATAATAATAATATTACAGTAGATAACACTCACGACCATAATATAGGGTATGAGTATGAGTCTCTTCTTAGGGCCTTGGCGATGGCCTAATTGTTCCAAAATCCCAATGACATTCGATATTCATCATAACACCCAACATACTGAAAAATATATTATTCTCAAATACTGATATTGACTCTTTTACCTAACTAATACCCAAGCATTATAATGTGCAGTTAATCGCTTTAAGTCACTGAATCAGTTCCTCTGAAAACTGAGCCTGAGCTGTGAGATCAATCCTTTCGGAAATTCTCTATACACTTCATATAGATATCATCATGAGAATCAGAATCTGACAGACACCTTGTTCGAAGAATGCCTATTTTGCGAGTCTTCTGCAGAGATTACCCTCAGCGTACTCTGATTCTGGCCACTACGGACAACGCTTTGGTCTTTAAACACATCGCAGCAGAAGTGGACCGCAGTACGGGAAATACCCAACGAGACACGATCCACTGCTTGGTTGAATTTTCCAGTTTGTCTTCCGTGGACTTAACAGGTTACCGCTGTCTATGCGATGGGCACGGTACGCTTGGGTTAATCGCTCTGGATGGAGATGTGTTCTTATGCGTGGTGACTGGCGCCTCAAAGGCCGGAACAGTGAGGCCTGGCGAAGCTGTATGGCGAATCGACAATGTGCACTTTTGTAATAGCTCCCATTCCCTCGTTTACCTTATTTGGTCTGACCAAAGCAGTTTGTCTCAATCATTCAAGCTATGAAGATGGTCTTAATTATGAGTCCGAGTCCGAGTTTGCCGCTGAAGAACTCGACCGGGGTGAGAATAAAGAAATTGTCACTGATCACCCATTCTTAGCGCTGAAGAAGCTCTTGAGTGATGGCAGTTTCTACTATAGTCTAGATTTCGATCTCACCGATCGGCTGCAGAACCGGTAAGCCGATAGAGTGCCTAACCCATAGATCTACAGAGGTTGCTGACATATTGTCAGCTCCGACAAAGCTGATGCGTTCGACATGGGCTCTTTAGATGAGGACATGCTGTGGAACTCATACATGATCAACCCTCTTCTTCTTCTCAGAAGCCGCTTGTCTCCCATTGAGAAACTGCACCTCGACATGTCTCGAATGTTGACATATGTAATACGAGGATTCTGTAGCACTTTGACCATTCCCACTTCTAGGTCGATAGTTCCGCAAGCACCAACGCACTTGCCATCAACGTTGACTGTTATATCACGCCAATCATCTCGACGGGCGGGTACCAGGTTCAATTCTAGGGGCATTGACGATGACGGAAACGTTGCAAATTTTGTGGAAACGGAAACTGTTATCTGGGTTCCTCCCGGCCTCACTTTCTCATATGTCCAGATTCGCGGTTCTGTGCCCATTTTTTGGGAACAAGCACCTGGTTTCTTCCCTGGCCAGCAAAAGATTGAGGTAATCAGGTCGCGCGAGGCAACCAAACACGCCTTCGACAAACACTTCGAAAGCCTTGAATCACGATACGGCGCTATACATATCGTTAATCTCCTGAGCGCTCTGAAACCCGGAGAAGTCGAGCTTTCAACGAGGTTTCAAGAATTGGTCAGCAGAAGTCCACTTAACCAGAAGGCTAACTCTCATACCTCCTCCAACCATACGTTACTTGAAATGACGGATTTTGATTTTCATGCGGAGGCCCGCGGTCCTCTAGGTTATGGAGCTAGCGATCAAATCAAAGACGTTATTTTGCATTCTGTGGATGGTTTTGGATACTTCTTGTCAGAGAGCACTTCCTATGGTGACGAGGCAAAAGCCTCGTCCGTCGTTCTGCAACAAGAAGGCATTTTTCGGACAAATTGTCTAGATTGCCTTGACAGAACCAACCTTGTACAGACAATCATTAGCACGATGGCCCTTGAATCATTCTTTCATCAACAGGGAGCTCACATTGACCCCGAACTTCGGCTCAGACACTCAACCCTTTGGGCTGACAACGGGGATGCTCTGTCGCGAATCTATGCTGGTACTGGTGCGCTGAAAAGCTCATTCACTCGACATGGAAGAATGTCTCTCGCCGGTGCCCTTGCAGATGCACGCAAAACCGCCACACGGCTATACGTGAACAACTTTTCCGACAAAGCCCGGCAAAGGACAATAGATTTACTACTAGGACGTCTAACAAACCAAAGCCCAGTACAGCTCTTCGATCCGATAAATGATATAGTCTCCGAGAAACTGGCTCAGCGAGCATCCGAATATTCTTACAAGAAATCGGTCCTGATCTGGACCGGAACGTTTAACGTGAATGGACGCCACGAGGGCCCTGATAATGATTTAACACCCTGGCTCTTTCCTCTCCCCGATCAGCGGGGCGAGGATCCAAGCATCTTTGCCGTTGGTTTTCAAGAAATTGTTGCACTAAATCCACAACAAATCATGTCGACCGACCCCACTCCTCGCAAAGTATGGGAAGTCGCTGTCAGAAATTGTCTCAACACTCGTGCAGAGAAGATGGGGAGTACAAAGTACGTTCTTTTGCGGAGTGGCCAGCTGGTTGGAGCAGCTCTTATGATATTTGTGAAAGAAGATATACTCAGAGACATAAAGAATGTTGAAGGCAGTGTCAGGAAAGTGAGTGTCCAGTGCAAGAAGTATTGCTTCGTTATGAGTATCTAATGATTAGAAAGACAGGTCTCTCGGGGATCAGCGGTAACAAAGGAGGCTGTGCTATCCGCTTTGAATATTCAAAGACTCGAATATGCTTCGTGACTGCTCACCTTGCCGCTGGATTCGCGAACTATGAAGAGAGAAATAAGGACTATGAGACTATCTGTCGAGGTCTTAGGTTCCAGAAAAACAGAACGATTGATGATCATGACACTATCATCTGGCTTGGTGATTTCAACTACCGAATAGGTCTCAGCAATCAGATCGTCAGAGACCTGGCAACGCAACGCAACTACCAGAAGTTGCACGACAATGATCAGGTACTGTGATTCACTCAAGGGAACGTCTATGCGCTAATTAGAGCTGAAGCTAAACCTGCAAATGATCGCGGGCAATGTGTTCCAATCCTACAGCGAGGGGCTCATTACATTTCCACCAACTTATAAATATGACGTTGGTACAAACTATTACGACACATCGTAAGATAATACACTGTCTTCGGCGCACTTCTTTAACTGGAGAGACTAATACCTAGCAGTGAGAAGTCCCGCATCCCTGCATGGTGCGATAGAATCCTGTGGAAAGGATCAAATATCTATCAGCTGCATTACGACTCTGCCTGTTTACAGTGCTCAGATCATCGTCCCGTGTGGGCCCTTTTTTCCTGTGACATTAATATTGTTGATGATCACCTAAAGGGAAATATCAGGAGCATAATCTATGCAAAGGAGATAGGTGATGCACCCGAGATATCGGCAAGGTCGAGGAACCAGGCAAAAATGCATAAGCGAGAGTCAGCTGAACTGGACTTTCTCACACTTAACATTCCTCCAGCGAGCTCAGATGATCAGAGATGGTGGTTGGATAATGGTATGACTTCCCAAATTTTTTTTGGATCGGTTCCATCTTCGTGACTGGCTACTCTAACATTCACACGAGACAGGTATGCCAGTGAAATCAATTGTACGGCCGCCTTCAAATGGATGGTCACTGAACATGAATCGCGAGTCCAACCCATTTTCTTCAAGTAATGCCACTGATTGGGTACCTGCAAGAAGATTAACGGACAGTCAAAATGTCGTGGTGGATAACGTAGAATCCATCTCATACAAGCCTCCATTGCCCCCACGTGGTGCGAAGGGAGCCGCGAATTCATCAGACTTGATTCAAGACACTGACATGCGATCTTCCAGAGCAGATGGGGCCAAAAAAGCACCACCAATCCCTCGGAAACCTGTTGCTTTAAGCAACGATCATAAAGCCTTGTCGGGCCAAGCTGGATCACAGTCCGGTATGAAGGCACTGGAGAGCGTTCCGTCGCAGCCATGTAATCAATTTGACGTTCCGAGGTTCGATCTGAATGGCCAGATTAGAACTTCACCTGCTGAACGCAGGGGTCCAGGTTGTCAAGACTCTCTAAGCGGTGGATCTAGGCACTTTGGTGGATTTGAGCGTCATACAGACATCACCAAGGACCTACTTGATGGTGAAGTAAATTCCGAAATCAAGTGGGAGCCTTTACTACCAAAATAGTACATAGTTCATCTACCTTTCGTGATACCTATTATCGAGCTGTGCTTGTACGCCAATACATTGGCCTTACGTCCTTACTCATTTTTCTATTAGTGACTGCCTGTCCTAAGCCTGTAGACATGACTTCTATATCAATACCAACAGAGGAAGTAAGCATCCCGGAACGGAAGCTATACACCGTTCCTTTGCTAGGAGTTTGTGATCACCGTATAACTTGTTTTTGTGACTGAAAAGCCTGATGTCAATGGACCGGGAGCGAATTAAAGTATAGTCTTAAAAAACATTGACAATCATGCTCTATGGGTATATAAGAAACTCCAGTGCACATAATCCAGCACACATTTCCTCACTGACACAGACAGATATTATTCCAGAAACTTCCAC